CCCTACACACACCCCTACACCCCACCACCAACCATTACCACCACCCTATTGGATCCCCTACACACACCCCTACACCCCACCACCAACCATTTCCACCACCCTATTAGATCCCCTACACACACCCTTACACTCCACCACCAACCATTACCACCACCCTATTGGGTCCCCTACACACACCCCTACACCCCACCACCAACCATTACCACCACCCTATTGGGTCCCCTACACACACCCCTACACCCCACCACCAACCATTACCACCACCCTATTGGATCCCCTACACACACACCTACACCTCACCACCAACCATTACCACCACCTTATTGGATCCCCTGCAATGGCCTGGGTGTGGTTAAAGTAACTACGGATCCCCTGGGCGAGGCTTACATCACATTGAACGAGTGCATATGTCTCACGCGAAGATGTGGATGCTCAGGGGTCATTGCGAAAGTCCAGCACACACACACCTGCAACACCATCCAGTGACATAGACAATGGCGTGTGCACACACACCTGCAACACCTTCGAGTGACAGTCAATGACGTGTGCAAATATACCTGTCAAGCCTTCGAGTGTTATATCAAAAGACGAGTCCACACACACCTGCAACACCTTCAAGTGACACAGTCAATGACGTGTGCACACACACATGCAACACCTTCGAGTGACATAATCAATGACGTGTGCACACACACCTGCAAAGCCTTCGAGTGATTTGGATGCTTGTCGTATGCTTTCGTGCAGCTCAGCGGTTTCCGTCACATCGTAGCGTTCCACTTCGCAGGAAACAGTCTGTGTGCCATCATCCGTATGTAGATACGTATACATTGATCATATATAAATATGCTAGTGTTGAATCCATATATAGGTATATCAAAGTCGATCCATATATGGAGATACGTTTTTGTTGATCCATATATAGACATGTTAATGTTGATCCATATATAGATACGCTTACGCAGATCCATATATAGTTATGTTAACGTTGATCCATATACATACGCTTATGTTGATCCATATATAAATACGTTTTTGTTGATCCATATATAGACATGTTAATGTTGGTTTATATATAGATACGCTTATGCTGATCCATATATAAATTTCGTTAACATCCGAATGTAAATTGTTTCCTTTATGTGTTGCGTATATTGATATGCATATATATATCAGTCATAGAGTTATTCATTAATCTGTCTGTGCTTATGTAAGCGTGTGTGTGTGTGAAATGTATATCAGTCATGGAGCTATTCATAAATCTGTCTGTGCTTATGCAAGTGTGTGTGTGTGTGAATAACATGTATATATCAGTCATGGAGCTATTCATTAATCTGTCTGTGCTTATATAAGTGTGCGTGTGTGTGAAATGCATGTATATATCAGTCACAAAGCTATTCATTAACCTGTCTGTGCCTATGTAAGTGTGTGAGAGAGAGAGATAGAGAGCATTCGATGTGTGCTTGTGTGCTCGAATAACTCTAAGTCCTTTCGCGCTTTTGCTGAAATAGCGTATATCCGTCCCTATTGAAACATACATTACGTGCATATACATATCATGCTGCGAGCTTATGCACTTGGGTAGTACTGACGCAGCAACATCCCACCCAGCACGTATAATTGTAGGATGGTTCAAGAATATGTGCGCAACCGGATGGCATCTCAGACGAAAGCGTTTACGCCATCCGAGGTGTATGGATAGACATACTTGGTAAATGCATACTGCCAGTGATATTGATCAATGGTGGTGTTCATGCTCACAAAAGATACATACAATTACAATATATATTATAGTAACAAAAAGATGTAAGATACAAATGTACCGTGTTAGCAAAGAAAAGTACGACATAAATGCATGTGTATATATATACATATATATATATATATATATATATATATTATGTTATGTTCGTATTCAGAAGCTAGGTTTCTTGATTGTTTGGATTCATGTACTATCCCCCCCCCCTCTCCCCCCCTCCCATCGAGATGCAACGATTCACATATGCGTGTAAGCGCATACATGATCCACTATATAGCTGCTTCCGCATACACGTGCTGGTTAGCTATACCAACCCAACAAACACATGGACATCATGAGACACAAGTACCTTTCGCGCTTCCAACTGTGTCGCCCATTCATAGCCAGAGATTCGCTCGTCCGCCAAAACCCACTCCCACCTATATTAGGCAATGGGATGTCAACCAGCAATTAGCTATCTGACATACAGACAGTGTAGGTGGGGATTTGCTTATACACATTCTTCCTATTGCGATGATACACCGATACTGCTACAGTTGAAAACCGATCATACCATGAAGGTTTTTGTGGGCAGGCGTGTGTGTGTGTGTGTGTGTGTGTGTGTGTGTGTGTGTGTGTGTGTGTGTAGTGTGTGTGTGTGTGTGTGTGTGTGTGTAGTGTGTGTGTGTGTGTGTGTGTGTGTGTGTCTTTGATGGAAATATGAATACGCATATATAAGTTAAGTATAATACATATATATGAATA